GGAGGAAAGTCACAGGAGAAGTTTGTTTCCCTTTTCCTCTCCACACTTAGGACTGGAGCCTTCCGTGCCCTGCACCTTGTCTTGCCTCTAAAGACTCCACGTTGCTGACACATGAGGACGGGAGGGTCAGGCCCCCTCACCCACTGCCACCAGAACCTTCTGTAGTTGCGTTCCTGATGCCCAGGTTACCGGTGAGGAAACCGAGGCACAGGGAGTCCAGCAGCTGCCCAGGGTCTGACCAGGCTCTGCCTCTGCCACCCAGCCTGGTCTGTGTCATTTGTTTATGGTTTGAAAACTTTTTATTAGGAGACGATTTCACACCTGGGCAAACAGTGCTAGAATCACAGCTCAGGTCAGCACACCTGTACACACTCTCCCCAGATTCACTACGGTCTACTTTCCACCCCACCTGCTCCATCCTCTGCTCTCTCTCTCTCTGTGCAGGATTTCCTAGAACTGCCTGAGGGTATTTACATCAGGGCCCTTCACCTCCGAGCCCCTCTGTGCTCATCCCCAGGCCTGGAGGGCATTCTCCTGTGACCCAGCCTGGGGGCAGGCCCTGAACCCAGCGCACGGCCTTCCTTCCACCCGCGATCTCAGTGTCCTGACCGGCCCACATCCCTGCGCAGCAGCCCCGCCTGTGGGCCCGGCCTACCTGGTCAGCGACCGCCTGGGTCCAGGCCGGGCGGGGCGGGGGTGTCAGTGAACCCTCCACACAGCTTCCTGTCATGGGACACGCTGGAGCAGCGGACAGCGAGTGCGGACTTCGGGAGGGGAGAGTGAGCACGGAGAGCAAGCGCGGAGAGCGAGTGCTCACGCCCAGTGCGGATACCGGGTGTGGACCGTGGCCCCACTCGCCTCCTGGGGTGCGGCAGTCACGTGACGCGAGTGATACCAGGGTGCAGGCCTAGAGAGGGCGGGAGGCGCTGTCAGGGTCCTGGTGGGCGCGACCTGGGTTGCCACAGCGTGAGTGACCCCTCCCTTAGCCGGCACGGTCTTGGGACCAAGAGTCCCTGTGCTACAGGGTCCCCCGCACCTGGGTTTGGTGTCTTCCTCCCCGGGGATGCGGAGTTAGGAGGGCTCGGGTCGTGGCGCCGCCCGGCTGAGCCCCCCGTGCAGTGGACGTAGGCTGAGAAAGGGCCCCTATTCAATTTCACCCCAATTCCTGAATCGGGGAGACTGATCTGAGGGCACACATCCCCTGTCTCCTTGCAGATCGATCTCATAGAATAAAGCTGATTTCTCCCCCAAAAGCTGATGCTGTAATTAATTGGCTTGTTTATGTGCATCGGGCACAGAACCCCCATTTTGTGTGGTAAGGGGCGGGTGGTCTGGGCCTGCGGGGGGTGGGTGTGCGCCTTGCAGAGGATGTGAAGGGTCCATGGTCCTTGGGGGTGTGATGCAGGATGGGAGGGGCCCAGCCAGTCTGCACTCCGTCCCCCTGGACCGCACAGTCCACAAGACCCCATCGTCCTGCCCTGGTCTCTGTGTCCCCACTGCCTGACCCAGTGCCCAGTGTGTGCCGTGGGCAGCGGTCGGCTGTGAGATGGCTGAGACATTTGGGGCCTGGAGACAAGTGGGCAGAGTGGGGCACTGGACCTGAGAGGTGCTGAGGGCATCGGGGAGAGAAGTCCATGTCCAGCCCTGGACCTGGAGGAGCTGAGGGAGAGGGGCAGGGGGCTGCCAGGGCGTCCCCAACTCCAGGATCAGTGCCGGAACAGCCTCACTCCCACGTGCATCTGCCCCCCTTGCACTCTCATCTGCAAGGCCTGGCCCAGTGTCCCACTTGTGCTGTCCCGTCGTGTGGGCTGCTGTGACATCACAGGTGTGGTACCTGGGGACACAGTGAAGAGCTGATGTGCATGAGTGGACACAAGAGGCATGACAGGGTCCGGTGGTCGGGAGGAGATGGCTGTCAGGGCTTCAGGTTCGCGTGGCGGTGGGGATCTTCCGAGAGCATGTGTAATGGAAGAACACATGCCAAGGACTTGTCACAAGCAAACAGAGTTACCGGTGTAACTGACAATGCCTCAAAGGAATGCTCACAGATAATAAGCCCTCTTGGAAAGTAATTTAGTTTAGATCATTGATTGGGAGAAAAAAATCAACACAATGGAAGTTAGGAACAGAGACACACAGAGGTGCATAGCACCCCCTCCTCCCCTAGTGGCACAGCATAGAGATGACATTCATTTATCATCCCTGACACACGCCCTCAGAGGACAGAAAACCACGTGGACGACGAGCCCTGTTCAAAATCGGGAGCTAGAAACTCTCCAGCTTGTCATTCCTGGTTTTGTTGGTCTGATATCTGGTCAAGTCCAGGGGCCTATTTGCATGCGGGAGACTTTTAAACACTTGAATGTGTACGTAGTCGTCATCGCCAACTTGAACCTGCAAAGAGAGAGTGGAGTGAGGGGGGCAGGGACAGCCTCTGACCCCAAGTTTCCCTGCAGGACTGGACAGTTCGAGAAAGGCCTGGATGCGTGGAAGCCGCGTCCCTTCAGGTCATCAGTGACGGGGCTGATGACACTCCCATCTCCCTCCTCCAAGGGCAGTGGATGCCCTCGTCACCCCAGCCCGCACCCCCGGCACCCCACACTCACTCCATCACAGCCCTTAGTTCTTAGTTCTGAAAGGCTCGGTCGTCTCCTCCAAGGATGCTGGGGTGCTTATGCACGTGCGCACACACACACACACGTGCACACACACTCGTTTTAGAGGGCCCTGAACCCCCAGAAGCTGGGGCTGCCACAGGACCCCGCTTTAAGCACCACTGCCCTGGGACCAATGAGACCACGCCACCCATGTCTGCTCGAGCACCCACTTGAGGCGAGACCCTCCCGCGTGGCTGACACCCCACCTTGATGAGGTAGTTTGTGCCCGCGACCACTTGGCTCCTGAATTCCACAGCCTTAAAAATAGGGAACTTCTTCTTTTCCTTCTCTTCCAGCTGGGGCTTCACCTGCGGAAGGAGAGAGAATGCACACATCATGG